TGTGAGTCGTTCGGGCTCCTCGTGGGGCCTGTTGGGGGCCTCTTGGAGCCTCTTGGGGCGTCTTGGGGGCCTCTTGGGGGCCTCTTGGGGGCGTCTTGGGGGCCTCTTGGAGCCTCTTGGGGCCTCTTGGGGGCCTCTTGGGAGCCTCTTGGGGACCTCTTGGGGCCTCTTGGGGGCCTCTTGGGGGCCTCCTGGAGGCCTCTTGGGAGCCTCCTGGGGGCCTCTTGGGACCATCTTGGGGCCTCTTGCGACCTCCTCTGAAGCGCAAATGAGCGCTGCCCCCTGAGAAGGACAAAATGAGGCCAAAACCTTCGTAAAATCAACGATTTTGCTATGGAGGAAGAGAAGCGCGGCCCCCTCAGGAGGCCAAAATGGGGCCAAAACCGTAGTAAAATCAATGTTTTTTGCTTCAAAGAAGAGCAGAGGGGCCAAACTCGGTCCCCCCGTCGGGGCCAGAATCCTCGTGAGGGTCGTCGTTTTTTGGCCCTCCCAGGGGTCGAAAAAGACTCCCCTGACGACCCGCGGCCCGCCCTCTCCAGGCCCAGGGGGAGGGGGTAGGGGGAGGGGTAAACCCCTCCCCGAAGGGGAAGAAGGGGGGTTGAGGACAGAGCGGGCTCTCTAAACCACTCACGCCCAAAGGGCTGGTGGGATTCCAGTTCGGTGGGTCTTTTGGGGGGCGCATATGTTCGCCAGATTTTTTTGACCGCTAGAGTGTGATTTTTTTTCTGGGCGATTGTCTTCTTATTCTGCTCGTCGATTCTTTGGTAGCAGCGCGCTCTACGCGCGTGTCCCAAGATCGATGCGCTGCGCTTGGCGGGCGACCGGGTCGCGCGGGCGGCATCGTGGCACGCTTTCTTCTCCATGTGCCAGCGCGCGCCTTGCGCGTGAATCGCGCGAGCAGTTCTTCGGCGGCGGCGGCCTTCAGCGCGATGGCAGACGCGGCCTGGGGCCGCGCGGGGCCATGGCGTTCCTTCTCCCCCCCTTCCTTGTTCCCCCGCGGAGGTCTGCGCCGCGTTCTTGCGCTGCCGGGCAGTCGCGGGCTGCGCGCGCGCCAAGTAGAAGTATAATTGGTGGCGAGTCGGGGCGGCAAGTGGGGGCGCGCAACCTCGCGCGCATGATGGCCCCGGGGAGGGTTGGCGAAGCTTGTTCATGCTTGTTGTTTTTGTTAAATGCGTTGCGTTCTCCCCCCCGCCAGCGCGCGGCGAACCCGCCGAGCCGCCGTGCCCCGCGGCCCCCTGCGGGCAGCCCACTGCAGAGGGTCGCTTTGGATCAAATCATCCATGAGTCTCCCTGCGAATTTCCCCGCTAATTTCCCGGCTAATTCCCTGCCTAGGCTCTGCCTAGAAGGGTTCTTACTCTGTGGGCTTAAAGGGGCCGGGCAGTGGAAAGCGCCCTGGGCGGTTCCCCCAGTATCCGCCCCGCGGTTCCCCCAGCTACGGCCTTTTAGCTTAGCGTTGCTTATATCATCTTAGCTTAGCTTATTATGTCTGAGCTTAGTTTAACTTCATCTTAGCTCAGGTTTATCTTTACTTAGCTTACCTTCACTTTAGCTTCGCTGAGCTTTAGCACAGCAGAGCACATCATAGCATAGCATAGCATAGCGTAGCGTAGCATAGCATAGCGCAGCACAGCATATCCTCGCATAGCCCAGCATATCATATCATAGCGCATCATAACATATCGTAGCATCGCATAGCGCAGCACAACACAGCACAGCATAGCACAGCGCAGCATGACATAGAACATCATAACATAGCATCGCACATCATAGCATAGCATAGCATAGCTTAGCATGGCGCAGCGCAGCATGACGCATCATAACTTAGCATAGCATCGCATAATGTATTATCGCAGCATCGCATAGCACAGCATAGCAGAGCATATCATATCATAGCATAGCATAGCGCAGCATCGCATGGCATAGCGTAACACAGCATAGCATAGCAAATGATGCTGCTTTCCTAGGGGCTCCAACTTCTAGGTAGGGTCGCGCTAGGGTAATTTCCATTTAGTTTCCCCGCCGATTCCCCGGCTCAGTATGCCTGCTCATTTCTCCAATTCGTTTCCCTGTTCATTTCCTAGCTCATTTCCTCGCGAAATATTGCGCCAGAGGCGCCGCGCTTTGGGCACGGCAATTGGCAAGGCACGGCAATTGCGCAGGCTGCGCCAGAATTAGCGAGGGAATTGCCTGGGCAACTCGCCTTCCCGTCCGCCCGTCGCCCGCCCGCCGGCCTCCCGCCGCCCGCCCCCCGCCCGCGCCGCCCGCCCGCCGCCCGCTGCCCGCCGCTCCCCGCGCCGCCCGAGTCGCTAGCGCCGCTCGCGTCGCTCGCGCCGCCCGCTGCGCGCGCCGCCCACGCCGTCCACGCCGCCCGCGCTGCCCGCCGCTCCCCGCGCCGCCCGAGCCGCCAGCGCCGCCCACGCCGCCCGCGCCGCCCGCGCCCGCTGCCCGCGCCCGCGGGCGCCCGTGGGCGTCTGCATCGATTCAGCTGGTCGTGGAAAGTGCGGCCCGCGCGCGCCGCCGCCTTCCGTTTGCCACCCTCCCTCTCTTTTTCATCCTTCCATTCTCCCCCTTCCCCCTTGCCCCCCCTTCGCTCCCCCCTGTCTCCCTTCCCCTTCCTGCCTCCCTTTCCCCCTGCCGTCTCCCCCTCCCTCCCTCCTTCCGCCGCCCCCTGCCCCCCCGTCGGGCACTTCCCCTGCGCTCTTTTCCCATGTCGCCCGGGGGCGGAAGAGGGGCAGGGCGCGGGAGAGGAAGGGGGGGAGGAGGGGAGGACGGAGGCGGGGTGCAGAGCGTCAGGGCGGTGCGCGAAAGAAACGGAAGGACAGGATGGGAGGCTGAAGCGGGAGGCCGGAGGGCGGACGGAAAACGCAACCATTGCGTTGTTCGAAACCTTCGTCGTCGACCGCAGAAGACACCGCCGGCAACAAAACATATAAACGAATAGAATCGCTTCCTTTACAGCAATGGTCGGCCACGACCGTGGGGCGCGCGGGACACTCAGGGCCCCCGAAGGCCCGAGGGCGTCGATTTCGCGGTGAACAGCCCCTGTCAGAGCATTTCCCCCAGCACCCAGCGCCTCAGGCACGGTTTCTTGTTGAGCCGCGTTGGTTTTGGTCCTGGTGGGTGGCTGGTGGTGCCATGCGGTGACCTGCGCGAGTTCACCGTGCATTCAAGGCGCCGCCAGCTGGCGCCCAGAGGAGTGCGCTGCGAGTTCGGCTGCCCGCGAGCCGCGGCCAAGGTCGTTCAAAGCGTGGCGACCCGAGCTGGATGGGCTCGTTGTGTCCTCCTGCCTGAAAGCGCTCGCAATTGTCAACAACACGGCGGTTGAGATCGCGGGTGCTGCCCACGAGGGTGTGCTGCGCAGCTTCGGGACCCCTTGCCCCGAAAGGCAGGCCGTGCGCCGCTCGCCTCTTCTGCGCGGCCCCTAGATGCTCAGCGTCGACGACCACACGGGCTTGCAGAAACTTTCCCGGGTCCCGACGATCCTGCGCCCCAGCGATCTTCGCGTGGGGGCCAGGCGGCGTTCGCTGCGTGCGACCGCGGATGCCCGAACGCGGGCCTCATTCAGCACCTAGGCAAGCGCGCCCGCGCGGCGTCGTCGGCGGCGAGGTGGAAGGTGGGGTTGGTATAGTCTGCGCCCCGCTCGTTCGAACGGTAGTTCTCTGCAGGCTAACGCTCATCCAGGTGTGCCTCCGTCGTTCGACGCGCGCCATTCTGGCGTCGCTGGTGGGGTGTTGGGTTCAGGTTTTCCTGTGCCGCCGGCCTCCGTTGTCGGTTTGCACCCGCCGGTCAGCTCGCACCTTTCAGCTGAGCTGTGGCGCAGGTCGGAGCCCGGCGGGTGGCACACGTCGTTGCAGGATCGCCGAGTGCTCGCGGCGCTGAGCCGCGGTGCCCCTTTTGGGCCGCGAGTTGACCCAGCTGCTCCGCGAACGGAGGATCCCATCTCTGGAGCTTCCAGTTGGCCCGCGCTGGATTTCGGAGCTTTCGGAGGCGCTTCGCTTCCGCCTGGCCTATGCATGGGAGCCCTGCTCTCCCTGCCACCTCTACTCTCTGGAGACGGGAGTCGGATGTCTCCTTTGCGCCAGGACGGGCTTGTTCGCCGCCGCGGCACATCCTCTGGGTCGCACTGGCGCGCCGCTTCGAAGCCGGCCAGTGCAACCTGGGGGGGGGGGGGGGCACGCCTCGCCGCTCGCGCGCCCGCTCGCGTGAGCCCCAGCCGGAGCGGCCGACGGGGGAAGAGGGAGGAGTTGGAGGAAGAGGAGGAGGAGGAGGGGGACTTGAGGGGACGCGTCCCCCCCTCCGCCACGGGGTCTCTGGAGGCCCCTGGAGGCCCAGGGCCTCTGAAGGCAAAGAGGATCGGGCGGACGGCAACGGGAAGGGGCGGCGGGTAATACGCGTGTGGTGAAGACAGGCGCGCCTCTCCAGCACCCTTCGGGGCCGCGGTGCCAAATATTTGGGGCCAGTCGAAGGGCCTCTTTGGGGCCACTGTCCTGCACCCTTCGGCCGCCCCGCGTTTCCCCCCCCGTTCCTTTGACAAAAGCCATCCCGACCCCAACAAATGACGTTTACTGCACGTCCCGGAGCGTTCAAGCGAACAGCCATGCCCTGTCCGATTCTTTCCTCGGGCTATGATGTTCCGACTTTCTTTAGCTTTCATCGCCGGAAAGAGTTTCGAGCACCTAAGCAATACCAAAATTTGAGGGCTCTCACGTGTCGGGCCCTTGGCGGTGGTATTCGTTTGACATTTTGTTAACGTGTCGGGCAGGGGCTGTTTCGATATATTTCTGGGTGCTCGAAATTATATCTGGGATGTAGTCCGTAAGTACGATGACGCCAGCATAACCCCCCGATGCCTTTACTGAACGGCTTCGCTTGTCGAGGTGCTTAGTTTGAGGGTAGCTTTTCTGCTTCCCAAATATCCCCCGGAGAAGGCCAAGGCCGCGCACCAGCATGGGTGCTTCCCTCCTCTGGGCAAGCCGGGGGCGGCGGCCCTGGGGCTCAGCATCATGGTGGGCAGCGTCGTCGACGGGGTGCCCTTCGAGCGCTGGTGCTGGAAGGCGGAGGTGCTTGCAGACCACCGTCCATCCCGCCAGTCGACTGCACGCGTCGCCGTCATCGTCGTCGCCTTTTCCTCCTCCCTGCAATCCCGCCCCTGCCTCCCCTCCCTTCTTTCCTCCTCGTCGTCCTCGTCCCCCTCGTCCTACTTGTGCTCCGCATGCTGCCCCTTCTTCCTCATCCGCCCCCTCCTACCCCTCCCCCCCCCCCTCTCTCTCCCTCCAGCTCATCCTCCGTGTCCTCGCCCTCCTCGGCCTGCCCACCCTACTCTTCCCCCTCCCCTTTTTCCCCCTCCCCACCTTTTCCCGTCCCCCGTTTCCTCGTCCCCACCTTTGCCCCTCCCCCGCTTCCTCGTCCCCACCTTTTCCCGTCCCCTCTTCTCGTCCGAACCTCTCACCCACCATTGCTCTTGCTCCTGATCTTGCCTCTGTCGCTCCCTCTCCCTACTCCCCCTCCCTTTCCTTCACTTTCGTGCCTCCTCTTCCTCCCCCTCCCCCTCCTCTTGCTGTTCTTTGTTCTTCTCTTCCCAGTCCCCCTGCCGCGTGTAGGTGTGCAGTACGAGATGGGAAGAGTAGGAGTAGGAGGATGGGATGACGATGACAATTATGATTCAGATGAAGATTAATCTGAAGATTCAGATGAGCAGGATGATGATGATGATGCTGCTGCTGCTGCTGATGATGATGATGATGATGATGATGATGCTGCTGCTGCTGCTGCTGATGATGATGATGATGATGATGATGATGATGATGATGATGATGATGATGATGATGCTGATAGTAATAATGATGACGATGTTGACGATGATGCTAATGCTAATGATGCTGAATCTCATGACTATAGTGATGATGATCATGAGGATGATGAGGATGATGCAGATGATGCGGAAGCTGAGGATGATGAGGATGATAATGAATAGGAGCACGATTGGGTGTTCTCGAACTTGAATCGTAGAACGTTGGAGGGCCGTGCGGTTGCGAGTTTGCTCTGTCTGCAACCGCCACGGCTCGAGTCTTTTCTTTGGAGGCCTCGGGAGGCCTGCGCCGGGGCTCGCGCATGCGCCCCGCGGCCCGAGGCGTGGCGCTCGTCGCGTTCAACGCCTGCACTGCCCGGCTGGGGCGCCTGGGGGAAAGCGCCCGCCCGCTGCTGGCGGCGCCAGCGGCCCTTTTGAGGTGCCGCGGCCGGCGCTTGCGCCCGCCCGGCCAGCGCGGGGCTGCCCGGCGGCCGCACCGCCGCCCGTCACGCAGGTTGAGGAGGTCAGCCCGCCACCAGCCCTGTAGGACGCGCTCGATCATCTGGTGCTTCGTGGTCGTGGGCGGGTCTTGACGCCGGATGACAATCGGCGATGAAGTGCTGGTGGCGTACGCAGTGCATGGCCCTGTTCTGCTTCACCGCCGCGCTGTGGTGCATGTCGGTGTCGTGCTGCTGCTTCACGCGGCGGTGGTCTTGCCAGATCACGATTTGTTCGTCGAACGCTGCACCACGGACGGCGCGGACATCGCAGTCTGGCATCTCTTCGGTCCAGGCGGAGCAGTTCCTGCTGTGGCATCTGGCCAGGCGATCTACGACTTCCAGCCGCCGCCCTCGGCCCAGGAGTTCTTCGGCTTCACGGCGGAGGCCGACCGACTCATCGAGGCCCGCGACTCGCAGCTCGGGGCCGCGGGAGGTGCGCCCGCTGCAAGGCCTGCGGCCCCAGCAGGCGCAGTCGGCGGCGGTGGGCTCGGCGTGGCAGGCGGACCTGGCGGAGGCCTGGCGGCTCTCCTTGGCGGCGGCGGGGCTGCTCCTGCAGGCGGCGGTGGGGCTTTGGTCGGAGGCTGCGCGGGGGCTGTGGTGCCCAGAGGCGCTTCTCTGGCCGGGGTGGGCGGCGCGGCGGCTGGTGCCGCCTTGGCGGCCGCAGGCCCCTTTGCGGCGGCCGCGGTGGCTGGCGACGGGGCGGCAGCTGCCGCTGGGCCCGCGGCGCCTGTCGGCGGGCATGCGTGGCTTGCTACAGCTCTCATGGGCGGTGACGGTGGGGGAGCCCTTCCTGGGCCAGCGGCTGGCGGAGGTGCCGACGCCTCGGACTGCCGAGCGCTGTCGGTGCGCTACGACACGAACGGGCCGCGGCACAGGTCCTTCGCCGACGCTGTCGCCTTCCTGGCCTTTTCTCAGTGGGCCGATTGGCCCGTGCCCGGGCCGCGGACAGTGGCCTGGGTGGCGCGTTTTCTGCTGGAGAATGGTGGCAGTGTTCTGGGCCATCACGCGCAGTGGCAGTCGATCATCAGGCTCGCGCTCGATGACATCACGGGGTCCACGCACTTGGAGTTCAGCGAGATTTTCGAGATGGCGCGGTGCTACGACCAGCTGGATATTAGCAATTAGCAATATTGGAGCTCTTGATTTGGTGTCACGCCAATTGCAGCCGTGCGAGGAAAGCTACCGCGACAAGATCCTTGGCACCAAATTAGGCGACGAGGCCCACCAGGACGAGCACTACTACTTCAAATCGTGGCCCTTACCCGAGTTATCCTGGTGGCGCCAGAGCTCAGTGCCCGGATCAGCGACCAGATCGCCCGCGAGAGCGCCATCGCCAAAGAACGGAGGAAGGCAGGAGAAAAACGCGCGCTGCCCGTCCAAGGAGAGGGGCCAAGGGCGGCAAGGAAGGCGAGTAGCCTTCGGCTGCTTTCTCACGGATTCGGCTGCCTGCTGCTCCTTGGTCCCGGGCTGGCAGGCCCTTCTCTTTTCGGCTGCTGCGGGGTGAGTCGCCAGCGCGACGCGTTCCCGCTCCCTGCGCTTCAACTTCCCCAGCGCGGGCGCGGCCGCTCTCGAGCTGTCGATCGCCGTGTGCTCCGTCGTCAGCGCGCCTTCGATTGGCGTTCAGTCCCTGAACTTCCTCTCTGGTCGTTGTGGCGATGCGGTCGGGCCACCTTCGGTTATGCATCAGTCCTGCCTCGCGCGCTTGGAGCGCAGCTCCATTGCTGCTGGGGCCCGCCCCGCCGACGTCCACCCCCGCGGGGGCCTTCGTGAGCTCTGAGGATCCGCCGTGATGTACGGCGAGACTCCTACTGCCGTCCTGCACTACAGCAAGGACCTCGTGCCGTGGCCGGCCGTTGGGGCTGTTCCAGTGGATCTGGCTGGCGTTTGACGGCCAAGATGCGACGATCTCCGGCTGCAGCAGCGGCACTTCGGTCTGAGCTCGGTCTCCACATGCCGTGCGAAGACCCCGCCTTCCGCCGATGCCGACTTCATTCAGGTGATGCTGGAGCGCGAAATGGTTCGCCTCGTGCCTACTCGGGTTGAGGCCACCGTCGGACTATTCTTCGCGAAGAAGAAGTCTGGCCAGCAGCGGATCGTCTTCGACGCGCGGTTCGCCAACTGTGACTTCGAGCCGCCGCCGTTCACGCGCCTGCCGTTCGCCTCGGCCGTCTCAAGGATGGAGGCCAGCGGGTGCGACGTGGTCTGGCGCTCTGTGGGCGACGTGCAGAACGCCTTCTACGCCATCTCCGTGCCGTGCGAGCTCGGGCCCTGCTTTCGCCTGCCGCCCGTCCGCGCTGGGCTAGTGGGGCGGCCGCTGGTGAATGGCGCGACGCCTGCGGCTGCCGCCTCGCTCGCGCCCATCCTGGCGGCCCTACCTATGGGCTGGGGCTGGGCCCTGCACCAATGCCGGTTGGTCACGGAGCAGGGCCTCGCTCGCGGCGGGCTGGGCGCGGACGCCTTGGTCAAGGACCGCGCGGCCTCGCGCCCGCCCGGGCCTCGACGGACTCTCGGCGCGGCGGGTTACGTCGACTACTTCATGGTCCAGGGGGCCCCGAGGGGGCGCGTCGCCGCCGCTGGACAGCGGGCCACCTCCAGCTTAGAGGATCAGGGTTTCTCCGTGCGCGAAGACAACTCCGAGGCGATCGACCGCGCCGATTTCGCGGGGCTCTCCTTCGACGGCCGCGCCCGCGCCGAGCGCGTCTCGACCCGTCGCGCGTGGCGCCTCCGACTGGCCTTCGAGGAGCTCCTGAGACGCGGGCGCTGCTCTGGCGGTGTTCTGGAGGTGGCACTGGGACATGCTACCTGGCGAATGCGGTTGCAGCGGTCGACCTTGTCCATCTTCAGCTCGGTCTATGCTTTCGTGAAGGCTTACACAAGGCAGGTCGCTCCGCTCTGGGACTCAGTGGTTCAGGAGTTGAAGGTGGTCAGGGACCTGCCCCCCCCCCTCTCTGTGGCCCACGCGGGCGCCAAGTGGTTGCCCTCCGTGACGGCCAGCGATGCCTCGCCCTGGGGCTGTGGCGTCTGCGTTCGCCAGGCGGACCCAGGGCGCGTTGCTCGTTGGGGCCGTGCAGCAGAGAAGTGGCGCTACATGCAAGGCGCTGCTGCAGCCAGAAGCCGCGCCTTCGCCGCCGAGGTCGCCGAGGCGGCTTGCGCAGAGGACGTGCCTGATAGCCTGCGGCAGGTCGACGAGATCAAGAAGTCCCACGACATGATCGACGCGAGCTTCGCGGACCACGAGGCCTGGCACATTGGAGTCCTTTCCATGGCGGGGCCCAGCGAACATCTTGCGGCTCGAGGGGCTCGCTCTGTCGAACGCCCTGCGGCGCGCTCTCCGGGGTCGTCGGGCCTTTGGACATCGAATTCTTGCCCTCGTCGATAAAATGGGGCTCGCCTCGGCGGTGGGCAAGGGCCGCTCGGCGGCCATTCAGCTTCGGGGTGTCCTCCGCGGGATAGCCGCTTGGACTCTCGGGCGCCGTCTTCGCGCCCATGTTTGCTGGGCCCCGTCCGAAAGGGAGCCCAGCGGACAATCCGTCTAGAGGCCTGTCATGCATCATGCGGCAGGAGGGGCTCGATGCGACCCTCGCGCGCGGAGCTGCTGATTGTGGTGCTGAACCTGTTCTGCCTCTTCCAGCCGTCCCGAGGTTCCCCGCCCTCGGCGTGGTCGGCCCCTTGCCAGATGCGAACCCCGGTGGCGACCCAGGTGAGTTGGCGGGCCGGGTTAGCAGCGCCCTCTGCGGGGGCGGCGGCTGCTTGGCGCACCCGGTGCCGCCGC